ACTGGGGACAGAGCATTGTGTTGTTGCTTTCTGGGGGTCTGAGGAACCCCAGCACCCCTTGCAGAAGGACGGGTCCAGCCTGGGCTCTCAGAAAGCACGGCCCATGCCTGCCTTTCCCCTCTTCCACTGTCTCTTTTCCTCCCGTGTCCATGCTCTCTTGTGCTGCCCTGGGCTGTGAGCCCCACAAAGCCAGCCTGGGGAGGACCTGCTGGGCCCTGCTCACTCTCAGGCGCAGGCCAATGGACACCCTGTGGGATCTCTGCCACAGCCTTGGGACACAGATTTCTTTCTGCCCCTCCTGCTCTCAACATGGGGGCTTCAAGCTGCATTGACCTCGTATTCCTCTTTTGACTCAATAAAGTTCTGCTGCATCCCAGTCCATGCCTCTGTGTCATCCTTTCCCCTGCTGAAGTTCTCACAAGATGCTCAGGAAGAGCAATGTGTCTCAGTCGTGGTTCTGGGAAAGGCTTCTTCAGGATGGTTGTGCAGTGACACCGTCTTGGGTTGAGTAAGTGTAGTCATGCATCGCTGCAACCTCCCATTCGTTCAGGAATGGTGAAGGCTCCTCGTGTGCCCCACAGATCAGTAACTTCCTCAGGACAACCCTCTCCTTACCAGCACTGCTGCAGCGTCCACAGAGGGAATACCTTTGTTGTGGTGGGTTATACTGCCTTGCTGACACATTTTGGAGGATACCGATGTTTTCTTCCTGATCACACCCATATGGAGGTGACAATGTCCACCCTGCCATTTTACTCCCAGGAGCCACAACTCCTGTGCAGCTCCCCGGATCTTGATTCTTTTAGTGGCCAAGCCACTTGTCAGAAGAGTCAGAATTATTCCTTTGCCCTTCTGTAACCCTTCTTTTACTCTCTTGCCACATACGATGGAGCAACTCAACTTCAACTAAAGCAACAGCCTTTTTACACAGCCCCATTCCTAGCAGCTGTCTTCAACCTCAGTTCACGTACACAGGCTTCTGCCATAAAAGTGTTCTCACCATCCCACTTCCCCTGGTCAAGCAGGAGGAACCAGAGAGGCAGCACGGTCCTGGGTCTTCCTTTCCTGCTGACCCCAGTGGGAGGGACTGCCTCCGGGGGTTGCCCCTCACAGCTGAGTTCTGGGCTGTGGGAAAGGGAGGGAGAGCAATTTTCTTCAAAATTGCAGGGGCAAGATGATGCTGTCTCCACAGCTGACTTATACCAACCTGGGCAATACATTCTTTTCAAACTGATCGAATATGACACTGATGCGTTTTGGACCACATTGATCATGTGACCTGTATACAAAGGGAATTCTTCAGACCTTTAGAGACCTCATCGTCAATGAAGTCATCATAGATGATTTCCAGCACTGCTAATTCTTTCGGGTCCCAGATGCCTTCCTAAGCAGTAGTCCATTTTCCTTGCTAAATCACAAGATCATTCTTCAATGGGTATCTTGCCCTCACACTTGACAGGAGATGCCTCCCAAGGCTGCAATTCACCCCCTCTTTTCCAGCTCCTCTGTCAACTCCCCGGTCCCTAACAAGGGATCCCAGCTCTTGGGCTTCCTTACCTTCCATTTCCTGACTCTCAGCCCCACACTCCCAACATCAGAGTAGCCAGGCAGTAATCCATTTTCCTGGGTGGTGCCTGTAATCTTTTCATGTCTCAAGTTGTCTTGAAACCGGGGAACAAGTAGTTTCTGTCTCTTGAGTGATTTCTCTCAATTCTTCCGCTCATTTCTTTGCTGAAGGACCATCTTCTCCAACAGACTCTTCCTCCTCCTCACTCCTGTACAAACCAATTATATACACCCGTTCACCTCCTGCTCCACTATTTCTTTTTGACTGTTGGGGTGATCACTACAGGTGGAGGTTGGGTCTGTACCTCAACTTAGGAGACCTCACATCAGGTTTGGGTCTCTGCCTCGGCTACCGTGTTCTTAGATGTACTCTGGATCCCCAGGTCAATCACAGCATTTTCAGAGGTGGTTTGGGTCCATGTCTTAACCACAGTTACCTCATAGTACTGAATCGTGGCTCGATAGGCACAGGTCAAGCCCCAGTACTGTGCTAAAAGCAGCTGGCTTTCAAGAAGCTGCCGAACAGGGTCTGGCCACCTCAGGGCATGTTTCACTGTCACCCAAAAGTTGTCTCCTCTTACTCCAGCATGACATCAGATTCCACAACCCCCACAATAGGCCAACGGTGTTAATTTGTAGTATGAAACAGCTCACTGAACGGTAAACAAGAGCCTCAGGAGCTCCTTCTGTGAAGGAGTTGCAGCATTGGTGAATAAGGGGAGAGCAACAGACATCATCTACCTGGACTTGTGCAAAGTGTTTGACACTGTCCCACATGACATCCTGATCTCTACATTGGAGACACATGGATTTGACGGATGGACCACTCAATGGATAAGGAACTGGCTGGATGGCCACATTCCAAGGGTTCTGGTCAATGGCTTGATGTCCAAGTGGTGACCAGTGATGAGTGGCGTTCCTTAGAGGTCAGTACTGGAACTGTACTTTGTGGCAACATGGACCGGGGGATAGAGTGCACCCTAAGGAATTTTGCCAATAAGACCAAGCTGTGTGGCATGGTCAACATGCTGGAGGGAAGGGATGCCATCCAGAGGGATCTGGACATGCTTGAGAGGTGGGCCTATGTCAACCTCATGAAGTTTAACAGCCAAGTGCAAGGTCCTCCACCTGGGTTGCACCAATCCCAAGCACTAATACAGATGGGAAAATGGATAGAGAGCAGCCCTGAGGAGAAGGACTTGGGGGTGTTGGTTGAGGAGAAGCTCAACATGAGCCAGCAATATGTGCTGGCAGCCCAGAAAGCAAACTGCACCCTGGGCTGCACCAAGAGAAGCATGGCCAACAGGTCCAGGAAGGTGATTCTACCCCTCTGCTCCACTCTCATGAGACCCCATCCGGAGTATGCATCCGTCTCTGAGGCCTTCAACATCTGAAGCACATGGACCTGTTGGAGCAGGTCTTGAGGAGGCCACAAAAATCATCAGAGGGCTGGAGCACCTCTCCTATGAAGACAGACTGGGAGACTTAGGGTTGTTCAACCTGGAGAAGAGAAGGCTCCAGGGAGACCTTAGAGCCCCTTTCAGTCCCTAAAGGTGGCCTACAAGAAATTTGGAGAGGGAATTTTTAGAAGGTCATGTAGTAATAGGATGACAGGTAATGGTTTCAAACTGGAAAGGGGTAGATTTAGGTTAGATAATAGGAAGAAATTGTTCACTATGAGGGTGGTGAGACCCTGCTCCTGGTTGCCCAGAGAAGCTGTAGCTGACCCATCCCTGGAGGAGTTCAAGGCCAGGTTGGATGGAGCTTTGAGCAACCTGATCTAGTGGCAAGTGTCCCTGCCAATAGCAGGGGTTTGGAACAAGAAATCTTTAAGGTCCCTTCCAACCAAAACCATTCTATGATTCTATGGTTCTCTGAAGAAAACTCTGTGACCCACACAGAAACTTGCCTATTCACAACTGCTACTGCTAAACCATGTCCAATTCAAAACTGCCATAGTCTCGAGTTCACATTAAGCGTCAAAAAGACTAGGTGAGTTGATCTTGTCTGGCTACCAGGTCTCCACCCACATGTTCTGTCACTTCCCCTCCTCAGCGAGAATCATAGAATCATAGAATGGTTTGGGTTGGAAGGGACTTCAAAGATCATCTAGTTCCAACCCCCCTGCCCTGGGCAGGGACACCTCCCACTAGAGCAGGTTGCTCAAGGCCACATCCAGCCTGGCCTTGAACCCCTCCAGGGATGGAGCATCCACAACTTCCCTGGGCAACCTGTTCCAGTGTCTCACCACCCTCATAGTAAAAAATTTCTTCCTGAGACCTAATCTGAATCTTTTTTCTTCCAATTTGAAACCGTTTCCCCTTGTCCTATCATTACACCTCCTGGCAAAGAGTCCCTCCCCAGCTCTTCTATAGGCACCCTTCAGGTCTTGAAAGGCCACTATAAGGTCTCCCCGGAGCCTTCTCTTCTCCAGGCTGAACAATCCCAGCTCCCTCAGCCTGTCTTCATAGCAGAGGTGCTCCATCCCTCTGATCATCTTCGTGGCCCTCCGCTGCACCTGTTCCAGCCGGTCCATGTCCTTTCTGTGTTGAGGACTCCAAAGCTGGACACAGAGCTCCAGGTGGGGTCTCACGAGTGCAGAGTAGAGGGGCAGAATTACCTCCCGAGACCTGCTGGCCACACTTCTCCTGATGCAGCCCAGGACACGGTGGGCTCTCTGGGCTGCCAGCGCACACTGCCGGCTCATGTTGGGCTTCTCGTCCATAAGCACTCCCAAGTCCTTCTCCTCAGGGCTGCTCTCCAGCCATTCTCCACCCAACCTGGATTTGTGCCTGGGGTTGCCACGTCCCAGATGCAGGACCCTGCGCTTGGCTTGGTTGAACCTCATGCAATTTGCACGAGCCCACCTCTCCAGCCTGTGAGAAAGAGGTGAGAAGATAAGATTAAAAACTTGTGGGTCAAGATAAAGGCAGTTTAATTAAGAAAAGCAAGGAAAATGTGCAGAAGAAAAGAAAACCAAAATTATTTATTCTCTACTTGGCCATCAGTGGGTGATGTCCAGCCACTCCTGGGAAGCAGGGTCACCATGCACTTAGGAGGTGCTTTGGAAGATAAGCATTAATAATGAATACGCCATGCCCTTTCTCTCCCCCCTCTTTCTTTCTCTTAACATTTATTGATGACCATGATGTCATATGGAATGGAATAGCCCATTTGTCAGTCTGGGTCTGCTGTTGTGCCTGTGTTCCCTCCCAGCCTCGTGCCCATCACTAGCTTACTGGCCTTTTGGGGAGGGCAATGGAACAACAGGGAGAAATGTAGCTCAATTCCAGAAAGACCCTGTACACTACTGTTACCAATCACGGCACAAGCATCCCCAACAATTCCACCCCAGAACACCAGTAAGCAACTTCTCTCTCCTGGGTATGTTGAGACAGTGTCTGCAGGGAAAAGGATGACACAGAGGCATGAGCTGGGATGCAGCAGAACTTTATTGAGTCAAAAGAGGCAAATAGAATTGCTCTGGGTGGAAGTCCCAGTACAGGGAGCACCAGGGGCAGAAAGGAGTCTGTGTCCCATGGCTGTGGCAGAGATCCCACCAGGTGTCCATCGGCCTGCCCCAGAGAGGGAGCAGGGCCAGCAGGTCCTCCCCAGGCTGGCTTTGTGGGGCTCACAGCCCAGGGCAGCACAAGAGAGCAAGGACACGGGAGGGAAAGGAGAGAGTGGAAGAGGGGAAAGGCAGGCATGGGCCGTGCTTTCTGAGAGCCCAGGCTGGACCCGTCCTTCTGCAAGGGGTGCTGGGGTTGCTCAGACCCCCAGAAAGCAACAACACAATGCTCTGTCCCCAGTCCAGTACCATCCTGTGGGTCCCTGGGGACCTTCCCCAGGACCATCTCCATCAGCTTTAGCAGGGGAGGCACCTGGTGCCGCAGAAGCGGCTGCCCAAGCCAGAGAGGCCAAAGCCCCCGGAGCTGATGGGCACTCCCTCAGAGCTGAGGATGCTGCCAACGGCAGCGGAGGTGGAGGATCCCACGGCGGTGTTCTGTGGGAAGGAGCTGAGGATGGGTCCGGGCAGGGTCACCACCACGGGGGAGGGCTGGATGACGACGGTGGAGTCCTGGCACTGCCTGACACAGGGCTCATTGCAGCTGTTGGCCAGCGGGGTCGGGCCGCAGGGCTGGCAGGGCCGGCAGGGGCTGTAGCAGGACATGTCTTGTGGCTGGAGGTGCACCTGGGAGAAAGAGCAGGGGGAAGCAGATCCTGAGGAGTGGGTGAGGAGCAGCCTTTCACTCCCACCATGAGGGAGTCAGGTCGTGAGTCGGAGATGAAAGCTGGAGGCATTGTGCACACAGGCGGCTTCTCCTCAGCCCAAAAGAGTCCTGCCAAGACTGACTAGGACCAGGGACACCACCACACACCTAGCTCATAGCTCAGGAGACACCAAGGCAAGCTCAGACTTGTTTCCATCCAAAATCTTCTGCCCCCTTCCCTCTAGCATGACAAACAGTAGCAAGACACAGTGTAGGCCAAAGGGGCAGGTATGTGCTGAGGAGGAGAAGGAGGAGGAAGAGGAGATAGGGATCCAGACTCACCTTGTTCCCAAGGAGATGGAGGCAAGAGGAGTGGATGAGGGAGTGAGGAGAAGTGCCTGCTTTTATACTGCTCCTGCACTGCCCCAGGCCCACAGTCACTGCACGCGGGCAGTAATTTTCCAACAGACTCACCTCCAAAGCACCTCCAAACCTCTAATGGCACAGGTTCACTTTTGGTTTCCATCAATGCTGTTGTTTCATGTCCTCATTTTTGACATGATCATCAGGCCTCAGAGGTTCCTTTTAAGTGTTGAGATTAAAGGCCCAAGAATATCCCAGGCTGGAACACATAATTGTGGGCAAAAGATGTGCTCTGGATGCTCTGGACAGGTCTGTTCAGGCAGGGGGCATAGGTTTGGGGAAATCTGGTGAGCCTTGTTTTCCACCCCATTTTCAGGAGGTTGCACATAGCCTCCCACCAGTGCCATCCTCTCCTGCCTGTGACAGTTTGTTTGGTAAAGTAGCCCCTTCTTGCGGTAGCATCTTGGGGTTCTCAACCAATGAATATTACCCTCCTGAACCCTGTGATTGCTCAACAAGCCCCAGGGAGTCGTGTCCCTCCGCACTACCAGAGGGGTGTGTTGGGGCTCAGGACAGTGCCACTCTCCTCACACCAACATGCACTTTGGCCACATGCTTTGAACCCTGACATGAAGGAGACGCTTTTCCAAAACACATTGACCATCCTGCAAGCCCCCTGAGCTGTGAGAGTTCTGGCAAGAAAGTCATTCTGAGGGCAATGGCCATTGGGGTTGCCTGGAGCCCCAGCTACTTGCTGTTTTCCCTGGGTATGGATGGAGCTACCCTGGCCACAGGGGAATTCAGCCCAGTGTGGGACACAAACCTACGGACAGCACACACTCCTGGTTTGGTCTTACATCAAAAGGCTGACACGCAGCCAATCCATGGGCAGGGAGAGTTTGTTCCAGGAAGCTTTCCTACCTAAGGCATTCGCTTGCCCTCCTGGGATGCGTCCCAGCTGCCTCCATGCCTGCAGGGGAGGCAAGTACATTTCCTCCTTGATGTAGTCTGAGATCTGGTTTTGGCCCTTCTGATCTCATTCCTTCTGTGAGCATGCTCTGGCACATGACACTGCAGTGTCCTGACAGCCCTCACGTACTGACAAAATGAAGGAATTTCCTTACTCTCCAAGGGTGCTTGGTTGTTCTCCAGGCTGAGGATATTTTGGTGTATATGAAAGGACGTGTGCTGAAGCCCTAATGCCCAAGAGAAGACATACTTGGTGGGAGCCAGGGATGAGTCCCAAGTGGTGGGGAGATCTTT